TGGGGGGGGGCGCAGCCCCCCCCATTTGCAAACACAATGCCTGCATGATGGGTTTCAAAAAAAGTTTTCATATGCTTTGAAGCAAGCTTTGCACGGCTTAAAAAAAGCGGGGGGGTTGGGGGGGCGCAGCCCCCCCCATTTGCAAACACAATGCTTGCATGATGGGTTTCAAAAAAAGTTTCATATGCTTTGAAGCAAGCTTGCACGGCTTAAAAAAAGCGGGGGGGTTGGGGGGGGGCGCAGCCCCCCCCATTTGCAAACACAATGCTTGCATGATGGGTTTCAAAAAAAGTTTCATATGCTTTGAAGCAAGCTTGCACGGCTTAAAAAAAGCGGGGGGTTGGGGGGGGCGCAGCCCCCCCCATTTGCAAACACAATGCCTGCATGATGGGTTTCAAAAAAAGTTTCATATGCTTTGAAGCAAGCTTGCACGGCTTAAAAAAAGCGGGGGGGTTGGGGGGGGCGCAGCCCCCCCCATTTGCAAACACACAATGCCTGCATGATGGGTTTCAAAAAAAAGTTTCATATGCTTTGAAGCAAGCTTGCACGGCTTAAAAAAAGCGGGGGGGTTGGAGGTGGTGCAGCCCCCCCCCATTTGCAAACACAATGCTTGCATGATGGGTTTCAAAAAAAAGTTTCATATGCTTTGAAGCAAGCTTGCACGGCTTAAAAAAACGGGGGGGTTGGGGGGGGCGCAGCCCCCCCCCCTTTTGCATTAGCGGGTTTAGGGTTCAGGGGTTCAAGGCTTCGGGGTTCAGGGTTTACTTTCGTTCTTTCTTTCCTTCTTTCTTTCTTTCCTTCTCTATTGTTGGCTTCCTTTCTTTACTCCTTTCTGTTGTTTGTGTTTCCTTCTTTCTTTCTTTCTGGCTGACTTTCTTTCGTTCTTTCTTTCTTATTGTTTGCCTCCTTTCTTTACTCCTTTCTGTTCTTTGTGTCTTTCATTCTTTCTTTCTGTCTGGCTGACTTTCTTTCGTTCTTTCTTGTAGTAGTAGTGGTGGTAGCATTGGTAGTCGAAGTAGTAGTAGTAGTTTCTTTCTTTCTCTCTTTCTTTCTTTCTTTCTTTCTTTCTTTCTTTCTTTCTTTCTTTCTTTCTCTCGTTCTTTCTTTCTTTCTTGCTTTCTTTTTTTCTTTCTTTCTTTCTTCTTTCTGTCTTTCTGCCTGCTTCTCGTTCTTTCTTTCTTTCTTTCTTTCCTTATTTCTTTCTTTCTTTCTCTCTTTCTCTCGTTCTTTCTTTCTTCCTTGCTTTCTTTCCTTCTTTCTTCTTTCTGTCTTTCTGCCTGTTTTTTCTTTCTTTCTTTCTTTCTCTGTTTCTTGCTTTCTTTCTTTCTTTCTTTCTTTCTCTCTTGCTTTCTTTCTTTCTTGTCTTGCTTTCCTTCTTTCCTTCTTTCCTTCTTTCCTTCTTTCTTTCTTTCTTTCTTTCTTTCTTTCTTTCTTTCTCTCTTTCTTTCTTTCTTTCTTTCTTTCTTTCTTTCTTTCTCTCTTTCTTTCTTTCTTTCTTTCTTTCTTTCCTTCTCTCTGGTTTGCTTCCTGTCTTGAGACTGGAGAACACGAGGACCCCAGGAAAAAAAAGGGAAGCAAAAAAAAAAAAAAGGGAAGCAAAAAATACGCCCTCCTTTTGGGGTCTCTGACTATATATATGGTACCGCGCATTCCGATGAACTGCATGGGGAAGTCCCACCGTGAGCTGGACCAGGCAGCCGTCCGTTTGCGGGGGCATGGCCGTATCAATTGCTGTCAAGAAGGTGCTCAGTCTTAAGGACGCAGTTTTCCTCATCAAGCACAAGAAGATAAAAGCCAACTCCGTCTCGATGGCCAGCTGGAAAGAGGGAGGGAGGGACAAGAGAATGAATAAGAAGCAAAGATACTTTAGAAGAAGAAGAAGCAGAAGAAGACGCAGAAGAAGAAGGACAAGAAGGACGAGGAGGACGAGGAGGACTATGGGCAAGGGCACCAAAGGAGCCAGAAAACCAGGCTGGTTCCTAGCCCAACTGCCCGCGCGAGTTTTTGAGCAGGGGCATGCAGATCAAGCACCCCGGCTCCTTCTCATTCGTTGTGACATCATGTCGGGGAACCCCAAACAGCATGGACCTACGTGGCCCCAGCTCCAGTGCCACGTTCCACTCAGCGACCTCTTAATTTTTGCCACCTTATCTCTACGCACATTCGTGCAGGCACACGCGTGCACACACATGCCTGCACACATCCTAAAGTCGTTACATTAGCGAGTACTGAGCAGCTCGAAAGCCGCCTGGTGCACTCAAGCTGTGGGCCACGGCAGCCTGGGCCAACACCTGGGCCGCCGGCCAAACCTTGAGAACCATGGGTGAAGGCCAACAGCTTTATGTGCCCGGGCGCTTCCATGGGGCATTTTGGGGCATTTTGGGGCATCGTGGGGCATTTCTGGGGTTGAGGAAGGGAATGGGGCTGGAGCTGATACCCGCAGCCATGAGGCTGCCATGCCGTAGGGGTCCGCCTCCACGCACGTTTCCTGGGTGGGCCAGCCCTCTCTCGGTGCCAGGGGAAGCTGTGAGGGGTATCACTGTCGGCGTAAGAGAGCCTCAGAGTCAGCCCTGTATGCTCAACAGCATTGCTTGGGTGTTTAGCTTGCGATTCAAGGTACAGTGGCTTCTTGGTTGTCTGATCACAGGAAGCCACTAATAATCACTAATATACCAGTGACTAGGGGGCCCCCAATCCATTCCGAACACGCATGGCCCAACAACAGGGTCCAAGTCTCGTCCTCTTCGTTGCACGCTTCCTCGATCAATTCCTCCTCGTTTGAGGACTTAGGGGTTTAGGGATGTTTAGGGTTTAGGGGTTCAGGACTTAGGGGTATGTTAGGGGTATAGGGGTTCAGGGTTTAGGTGCCTTTCCTATGCGCTTGGGCGTTTGGGAGTTTCGAGCTTCGTGCGAGCCATGGCTGGGTCGAGCTATCTTTCGAAAGCTTCAGCCTTACCGACCGTCACCCCTGGACCCGTTTTTAAAAAAATCTTACCCTAAACCCTAAACCCTAAACCCTAAACACCCTAAACCCTAAACCCTATAAACCCCCAATAAGGCTTCGCGGTGCCCTCAAAATCCCGCGAGATTTTTGCGAGCCTGCCAGTCCACCGACGCCTCGATGAGCCGCAGCTTGCAGTCCGGAGCAAGGGAGATGTCTACTTCAACCTCGGCTTCTCTTTCACGGCGCCCAAATTTCCCTCCCAAAAGGCTTAGGGTTTAGGGTTTAGGGTTTAGGGTTTAGTCGCTCACTAGGGTTTAGGGCCACGCTGCTTTGCTTTCGGACTGGCTTTTAAGCATCTCTTTTTCGGGTTGAGGGTTGAAAAGTCCTGGGTGCTGGCATGGTTGCAGGTCTTGGGCTTTGGGGTCGCCGCTCCGATGCATACATCCCTGCCAATGGTCACGGAGCTGCCACGGAAGAATCTTCAAACCCTGAGATGGGGGGTCAGGGTGGTTTTTAGGCCTGCTGAGACATGCAGGTCACTCCGCCGGTCCAAATCGAGAGGTTGGTCAGGATACTTAAGGGGCAGCAGCTGAGTCAGTAGCCAGGTTACGCATACAAGCAACCGCCACTGACAAACGCCAACCCGCAGCAGTTCGTTGATTCGTTGGGGACATAGGACACTCGCTAGTTTTGAATTCAGGGATTAAGGGGTGGCGGGCTTCGAGGAGGCTAAAGGCCTACGGGTCAGGGCAGCCCAGGTGCAGCGTGAGGAAAGCGGCTACTCGCGCCCTTTCCAATTCTGGAACACCTGGAAAGCTAAGGCCCGCAGGGCTCCCTTCCAACTGGCTTGCATTCGTCTTGACAACGCTACAGGCCGGTGATTCTTTCCAGTGCACGAAAGAATGAAGCGCCCCCCAAAAACCTGGGAGCTTTACGCTGTTGTGGATTTCGGCGAGGAGGAGGCTTGGCTGTCGTTGTTGCTTGGTTGCGATTGCACTGAAGAAAGGCGTGCCCCTGGGCCTTCAAAGTGTGCAGCAGGACATGTATACCCATCGCAAGAACTTCTTGGAACAAGAATGCCCAATGAACAACTCCTCCTCCCCAGACCACTCCTTGCCTTGTGGGGCATATGGCTGCTGCAGCCGCCACGGCAGCCAGGGACCCAGCAGCGACGCGCCGTGGGGTCGCAGGACCTTCAGGGGGTTTAAGGGCCCTTCTCACACATGTCTCATTGGCATGCAATGGCCACGAAACTCTAACCAACCTTGAACACTGAAGACACTGCATCGCCTGGAAAGATAGCCGTTCATACGAAAAGCCTTCCATTTCAAAGCATCCCGTAGTAGTATATTGCAAAGCTTGGGCTGGTCAATAGTCACAGATGCAAATGCTCAACCGTCAACTTGAATGCCAGCTGAAGTGTGCAGACAGTTCCAACGTGACGTATTCCCTCAAATCAAACGGAGCCTGCCTCGGTCACTCCAAACCCCCGTGCGGAGGGCAACAGGAGGGCATCGGAGAGTCCAGCCGCTGTGAGGCCAAGGGCGAAGGGAAGCCATGGGCGAAGGGAAGCCGAAGAGGTTTTGGGGTTGCAGGCGTGAGGGATTATGGAGCTACTTGGGCTTAGGGGGGCTTTGGGTATCAGCGCATGCGTGGGACCCCTCATCTCTAGACTTCATCCAAAGGCTTGCCCCTTGCTCCTGTGACTCCTCTGTCGCGTCTTGCATTTCCAGGGTTCTCTCATCCTTTTGGTACATGAGTCTGCCAAGCCTCAGGCCCCACCAGCAGCTTGTCAATAGTCCATGGCACTTTCTGTCGACCATGACTCTGATCCATTCTCTGCTGAGGCTTTGTTGGCTAAAGCTTGCTAAACATGTTCGAACTTGTAGCTGCCATCATCCAGATGGAGGGATCAGACGACAACTCAATCTGAGCTTTCGGATGTAGTCCGCCGAGACACTCAATATTAATAGGGCTTCACGCACGCGAGGCAGCACTTGCGATGGTTCTGACGCACTGGCCTCGAGTACTGCCCCAACTGATGACTCCAAGATGCGCAGTCGACGCCGTGCTCTCTCATCACGGCAACGATGGCCAAAGCACCTTCCCAAACACCTCGGGGATGTTAGCCGCAGCCGTCCCTAGCAGTCTGACTGACAAGCGCTTAAGGTTGTTTAACGTGCGGCCCAGAACAGAAAGCCTGCCCGATCGCACCTGCGAAGCGAAACTCGCAAAGGCAGGGGAAACGGGAGGGACGAAAATGACATCCACACTGCCTTGTTGTAACTATGGCAATCGCTGCAGCCAACGATTAGGTTGAGCTTAGGCTGGCCTCCTGCCATTTCGCTGACTTTTCTTGTCTAGAGTCTAGGTTTGTTGAGCAGGCCCACAGTGAGTGTAAGCCCCTCACCAAACTCCACATCCCTTAACATGGGCCAGGTGCCGGCGCGCTCCAGGCACGACATCACCTAAGGCAAACTTGGAGGGGGTGGCAGTGGGGGAAGGAGGGGAGAAGGCAAAAGCAAAGGAACATGAGAAGCTGAGACCCTGGACTCTGACTGGGGCCCGAACCAGAAACCTGATAAACACTCAACTTCACCTGGGCAAACCACCCCCCAAACCCTCAATGGCGTGGCGCAGTGGTGAAGGTGATGCCGTTGGGCACCAGGATGCGATGGTGCATCTCCTGCGCACACTACCAGTATGTGAACAGTGCCGAGAACTACTGGATCGAAAGCCTCAGTACTGATCTTCCGACAGCACGTCTGGCAGTATGCACCCGGATCATGGAGAGGTAGAGATTCGTCTTGCAGCTTAACTCAAGAGAGTCGAAGTCGAATGCTTTTTTATAGCGCCGGTTTCGTCACATGTGGCGCAAGTCCGAGCAGGTGATGGAAGTCAGCAGCTTCAGTAAGAGCTTGAGTAAGAGCCGCAGCACTACGTTGAAACCTTATCCGGGCAGGTTCTCCATGCGGTTTGGAAATTAACTTATAGTATGCGGCTTGTAGGACTGTTTCGGGATGAACTCAGGAAGTTGTCTGCAGGAATCACAGGTCCTCCATGAGCAGCAGAGAGTCTTGCCAGCTTGTACCTCCAAAAAACGAGTTTGCAAGCATTCATGTAATTAGCCTTCCTTGTCACCCCTGTGTTTTGAAGATTCCATGTGACGCTTCCCGACGTGGCGGTATGGGAGAAACTGTGTGCCAAAACTCCGCACCGCGCCACGTTCACAAGAGCCCAAACCCGACGACCAGCCGAATTTTGAACGGGCTAACGCGCTGATCTTCGGAATCTGAGCTTGGAGTCTGCAAGTGGAGTTGCCGCAGTGACTGCCGGAAATTTGTCTTATCTCCTGACTTTTTCGGTGCAAAAGACATCCCGAAAGTGATGTTAAAGGTCAGGTCAGAGCACATCCGCTGGCAAGCGCATTGAAGCTGGCGACGTCTGCACGAACTCCAGAGTTCTCCAAAACATTGAGGATGTTCCTGGCTACAACCACAAATTGGCATGACATCTGAGTTCGGTGGCGCAGTCCGAAGGGGAAGAAGCCTGAAGATGAGGAGAGGGCAATGACGGCAGCAGCAAGTGTAGATCTAGGTAGTGCCAGGAAGTCCCAGCAGGTTTAGACCCCTATCCATTGCGATGGAGGCCAGCCCTCCTTCCTCCAAGCCCTGCAAACTTAAGCATCTGCACTACGCACCAAACACTAGAAACCCCATTTACAAGCTGCATCTAGAAGTTCGTGGGAAAAGCCAGGGCTCTTGGCCCGCACCCAGCGCCGTTCGCGAGCCACAGCAGACAACACCGCGTTGCAGGCCAGTGTGTCGGGAGATAGCTTGGCCTACCACGTTGCACCGGGGGGGGGGGGGGGGGGGGGGTTGTTGGCGGTACATTATTGTTACAATAAGTTACAATCTGAAAGGTTCATTGGGGCGCGGCAGCAACAGGCCTCTAGATGATACTTCCTCGACGCCATGACCCTTAAGACGATGGGGCATACATCAGCCTACAGAGTGCGGGGGCTGACAACGCTAATCGATGCTTCGGGGAGTTCTAGTAACCTCGATATTCCTGAGTGCTGGTGTGCCGAGTTGGAGTTGCGTAGTAGGGTTGAGGACATTGTTTTGCCACCTGCCTAGCTGACCGAAGCCGTTATGGATTCGGATCTTGAGGGCCTTATAATGTAGGATATATGCCTGGGTAGGATCTCAAGGCTTCCTGTTTCTGTCCCCCTGGCTGACCGTTCTTCTTGGGGGCGGACTCTCCCGACTGCAGCCCGCGTCCTGCGTCATGGCAAGCAGCAACTCCAGAACATCTTGCCACTTGCCCACCTGCGCCGGTTTTTGAACTACAGATTCGGACAAAGCGGGCTGGTGCAGACAAAGAATGCAAAAAGAATGCTTGGGTTCCTGGAGCTGTTGCAGAGCATCCAAGCACTGCGGGTGCTCAAAAAGCCTAAGTTGTGGAAATCACCTGAATGGGTCAGACTGCTGAGAGGCCCATTGCCACCAAGGCAGCGTAGCCAGACGAAACATACTGGTAGTGCACATAGGAACAAACAGTTCAGGAGGCCCACACCACAGTGGACCCGAGGTTATTTTTGCACAAGCGTACAACGTCCCATTTTGGGGAGCGACAGATCTCAGCCTCTCCGCAGGCACTCATCGCGGTGCTGTAGCTGACCTGGATACGAAGTTAAAAGCTCGCAATATAGGAAACTAAACTCAAAAAGATTCCAACATCAGAGCCAGTACCCCCTCAACCTAGAGGACAAGCGGCGCAGGCATTGATCATTGAGCCAACACTGGTGGAAAATGGAGCAAGAAGGGTTTCACCAGCAATGTAGGGCTTCCCTCAGGATCGTCGTGTTCTTGATTGTTCTCTTCAGAGCCTGTCATATGCTAAGCAGGCCCTTGCTCTTGACTAATTATGCCGGTTGACGCCGGTAGGCCATGAATTTCATGTAGTCAGCACGCTTTCGCTTGTGAATGACGACCCACGTCTCCAACTCCAATGAGGTTTTCGAAACACCCTGGCCTCCAAAATGGCTATCTACCATAAAGAGGTAGAGAGAGCGAAAGAGAAAGACAGAGAGAGTGAGAGAGTGAGAGAGCGAGAGAAAGCGAGAGAAAGCGAGAGAAAGCGAGAGCGAGAGCGAGAGCGAGAGAGAGGAAAACGAGTGCACAGACAGCATACGCAAGGGCAGGGGACATGCTTTCGCGCTTGGTCCTTTTGAATATCAACTTCTGCCCCGGCCACCTAAGAATTTGTTTCGGTCTTTCCGGCTCCGATCGACACAACAGGTGGCACATGGTTGATGCGAAACAGAACGACACCGTGGAATCTCTGGTGTGAAAAATCTGAAAGAGCCGCTAGGCACCCCTGAAAGCAAGAAAGAAGGAGATCTGAGGAAGACAAAGAAGACGGCGGTTTATTGAAGTAACAACTAACTACTACATCAGTTCAACCATTTACGAAAAACCATACATCTTTTTGTGCCACCCGCACTGCCGTACTATATATATATATAGGTTCATGTATTCTATGGAAGTTCGTCAGTTGCGCCTGGTCAGCTCGCAGCTCAATGTCCAGCATTCGCTGCAGCAGGTTCAAGCAGAGTCGCCACTGCCCAACGGTCACCTTCGCACTGGGCAACTCTGGCAGACAAAGGCTTCCGAGAGCTTCCAACTCTGGAGGGGAGTAATTCTGAAACTTCGGCTGAGGCCACGCAGGCAGCCATGGCGGTGTTGAAGCTCACTGCATCCCCGCGGACCTTTCGTGCAGGCATCGACCACCTGCAGGCACGCTCAAATGGGAACAACTCGCCGAAGCAGATTGAAGAGGCTCCAGAACACGTGTCTCCGGAAGAGACGATGACAAGCTTGGTAAACCCCAAACAATAGACCCTGAACACCATACCAAAGGAAAACGTGCCAGAAGGCACAGTCGGGCAAAGAAAGGGAAAACCGGGTAAGCTCCTATAATCTTCTACAGAAAGCCCTAGACCTCTTCAAGATGGAGATTCAACACTATCATTTTGAAGTTGTGTGCCCCGGTCGCCGCACACCTTCAAATATCACGAATCAACGCCATAAGAACGTCCCACTGCTTTACCCAGGCCACAGGGTGTCAAGCGCCAGCTGCCACTGAGAGCCTCACTTCACAGCAAACCTAAGGATGTATGATGCGTAAGTACGCCTTGCCTTCAAGGTGAGTGCTCGGGGTGCTCCCGAACCCCCCGATCCCCCCCCCCGACCCAGCTTGACAGGATTAGCCAGCGACGTCCCCACATCCGGAAGTACCGCCGAAAACAGCACATGGGAGAAATCACCCTGTTTTGAACCTGGAAGCTGCTTTCATGCCAGGACTGAGGAATCACCCTAAACCCTAAACCCTAAACCCTAACACCCTAAAAGCATCCAGGCACCCTTCTGCAGCGCGCTGATCGCGGAGTTGAAAGACACCGCCGTGGGGCGAAGCTTGGCGCCGCTGAGGCTTCCTTGAGAGACGTCTTAGCGTTTAGGGTTTAGGGTTTAGGGTTTAGGGTTTAGGGTTTAGGGTTTAGGGTTTAGAGTTTTTTTTCCCACCCGTTTCGCGGGTGTAGGGTTTAGGGTTTAGGTGTTAGGGTGTTAGGGTTTAGGGTTTAGGGTTTAGGGTTTAGGGTTTAGGGTTTAGGGTTTAGGGTTTAGGGTTCAGGGTCTGAGGCCCGCTTTGAACCTTGAAAACCCATTTAAGCCTTTAGATTGACTTCAGGGGTTGAGGCAGAGGACGCTTCTGAAGAGTTCTGGTTGAGGACTTCAAGTTTTTTGGAGCTCCGGGCTGCTTCAGCGGAGGATGTTCGGTTCTAGGAGTTCCGTTTAGAACGGGCTTGGCTCGCTTCTGGAAAGGGTTCTCGCCCATCTTGCCACTTGGACTTCAGCCATCTTCAGCCCTCAATCCTGAAAACAGTGTCGAACATTCCTTGAAGCTCATATCCCACCAGGCTTAATTAGTTTCAGGTCGTCTACAACGGCGAACCGTCTGCCGCCGCAGGACGCAACATGCCCAAGGCCAGTCTACCATCGCCCGCGTTCTCGCAGGCGTGGATGGCGATGTTGTAACCTAGGTCTGGAGCTTGACATCAAGTTGGGTACCCACACCCGCCGATCACGAAGCCGGAGTGCGAGGACGAAGGGTTCGTGGCAAAAGTGGTTCTTCTTTGTGCGTGTCTGTGTAGGTATTTTTTGCAAGCGCTTCAGTGATGGAGGCATGGCGGGCTCTGCGAGCGGCTTAGGACCGTAGTGTGCAGTAGGCTGACACGTACTTGTTTCACCACTGGACGTAGTTACAGAACCCTCTGACAGTTCAAAGCCCTTGTAGTCACGGGGACCGAATAGCAGCACACAGCGCTTGCAAGGGCTGTTTCAACCCAAGAGTAACCTCCAAACTGGCCCAACTTAACTTACGAGACTCTGCGGGCAGGCTGCTGATGATGCTGGGAGACGGCCCTTTGGATGACATTGTCTCAAGCAGCCTAGGTCCAGTTTTTCATGGGACAACTTGCTCTGCAGTCACAGGCTGGTCCAGGTCGAAGCACCCGCTTGCCCTGACCCCGCAGATTCGAGGTAACGACACTACGGCGACGTCTCTAACGGAAGCTCCTCACAATAAAGAATGAACAAAGGCACCCGGGATTAAGAGAATTCTCCGGAAACAGATGGGCTTCGAATGGAGCTCTGAGCACTATGGGACCACACTGCAAGCCGAGCCGCTCGAGTGCTGAGGCCCAGCCATCACCTGCCCTGGAGCAAGGAAAAAGTTCGGGATGCTCCCCCTTATACTAGCAGTCCTTAAGGGATTAATGAATATAGGACTACTAGATAATCCCTATTGAGGACTGGCAGTATACGGGGGCACATCCACTTGTTTTGGCCAGGCCTGCCCTGCATGATGCCTACGTTGCGTCATTTTGAGCGAAACCTCCATGCACAGGACGTAAAAACATTCGGGTTTCCGGATCCCTGCGGCCGCACTTATGCAGTCAGGGAACACCAGCGCCATCATCGCGGTGTTCATGGTGATGACCTCACTGCAGCCCGCACTAACCCTTGCCGCACATAGGGTTGCGCAAGAGCACCCGCTACCTAGCCGAAAGCTTCTTCGCTATGGCAAAATGCTACATAACGCGTGCGCCACGTCGCCTTGGAGGACAAAACCAGTAGCACACCGCTTCGCGCAAACATCTTGAAGCACACGCCGTTCTCAGAAGTCAAGGCAGGGAGGCATCTGTTGCAACCTGCATCTGGGGCATGGCATCCATAACCAGCCTGGGCGGTGCAATGCGGGATTTTGTAGACTCGCATGTTTTGACATGTCTGCCACTTGGCTGAGGGTTGGCAAGGCAACTATGACATGCCCACTTCTCCTGCTCGCAATCACCAATCGTTGCCCAATTTGGAACAAGACGCAGCGCGCGCTGCCACTTTCCGTGCTGAAGCAGAGTATTCATGGCCTTGTAGGTTGACTGCTCAAGGGGAATGTATGGAGGGCATGGATCTGGAGGTTCATCAACTGATGGGAGGGTGGAGACCGTGAACACACCATGCTTCGGGCTCTACATTCAACGTCTCAGAAAAAGTCGGCCTCAGGCATTTTCAGTTGATTTGTGCGTTGGATTGGTTCAAGGACTTCTGGTGTTCCCGTCGACCTCCGCCGACTCGAAGCCAAATGCTGTCCAGGCTGCGCTGTTGCAGGTCCCCGCATCCGGAGGCACGTTGCGTTCCTGCATCCTGCGCCGTTCGGATGTGTTCAGCTGCTTCGGGCGATGTCTCGGGTTTAGGGTTTAGGGTTTAAATTAGGGTAGGGTTTAGGGTTTAGGGTTTAGGGTTTCGGGGTGACTTGCTCACATATATTTTCACGTGACTGTCTACAAGCACTGTCGGTCGGGCCTCGATGAGTGGCCTCATGAAGGGAAGCCGATCATATGGAAGTAGCCATTACAGGACCCAGCTAAGCAAAGCACCACAGAGAAAAAGCAGTGCCTGCGCATCAGCTGCAAAGGAAGCTGCCAGTGGGCACTCTCCTGTGAACCACGACGACGCATGACGACACGCAATGGGTGGCAACATATTTTCAAGAAGAATTGGAAGATACTCCGGATAGAAGGTTATTGACTTCACGGATTGCCCTGGGGCCCACTGCTTTGCAGTGTACATTCTGGAGGAATTCAGGGAGCTTCGGCACACTAGCGGGGGAGCGTTCTGGGGTCCTCGCTAAAAGGTCCGAGTCTGCAACTTGAAGCTAAGAATTTGGCACCTCAAGGCCGGCCCCAACCTTTCTGCCAGTACCCGCAGCAGCACCACCAGTACCACTTCGAAACATCCGATCCATCCCATCAGGCTTGGAGAACCCGGGAAGCTTTGGATGAAAGGTTATCACTCAAGAGCTCATGAGCGCACCGATGGTCCTGTCCGGCTTTGATGACGGAGTTGAAGGAAACCACATCGGGCGTGAGGTCCACCTCTTGAGTCAGGGTTCAGAGCCCTGTGTCAGGCCCCAAATAGTCCATGTCCACATGCCCGAACCCTGTATCCCTAACACCCCTACGAACATCATCTTTTTCTCCTTTGCGGCCAATAACAGGCCGAGCCTGTCCTGGGTCAAGCAGCCGAAACACGAAAAAAGCTTCGAGTGCTGAAGATGACCAAGGCTGTGCTCACGATGGAGCTGCAAAGCAGCAGAACTCTCGGCTTCCTGTTTCGTGTCTTTCTTAAAATAAGCGCCACAACAGGCCCCAAAAGGTCTGCAAACCTGCCCGTCCTCTGAGGCGCCTTGCCTCCACCACCTCGAATCTCGAGCTCAAAAGTCTATTACCCCTGAGATCACATGGTGCTCAAGTTCTTCCCAGAGTCCTTAACAGGCTCTCAGGCAGATTTGGGACCCTGAATGCCCACTTCGGGAGTGCAGAAACTTGGCAGGGGGCCTGTGCGCCGCGAAAGCCCTAACATGGTTCAATAGCTACCTGGAGGACTATTGCAAATCTCAACTTCCAGAGCTTCCGCGGAGCATTGAGCGGCAGCACTTAAAAAGAGGCGCTGACCCGGACATTCGGGTGACATGCAAGATGCCCTACAATAAACCCTCGGCCAGTCCAACGCAGCCTTAACAAAGCCGCCTAGCAGCTTAAGCTGCCAGTAGGGGTCCACCCTCCTGAGAAAGGCCCTAGTAAACCGAAGCAAACGTAGCCGATATCAAGCTATACGTAGACCTTTAGAGCCATTGTCACAATGTGTTCTTCTTAGGCTGAGCTTGTGAGGTGTAGGCGCGCTCTGGAGGACTGTCACTTGCGAGCATTGGGGCATCTTGTGCTTGGTGTTTTGTTTGTTCATTCTGGGGGTGCTGGAGGCTGGGGGTGTATACAGATACATCTCCGGTTTTTGCCGTGGGCTTCTCGTGGAGGGGTGAACGCTCATCAAGCAGCAACCCCCATCAGATGGCCTCGGCAACCAAGTTGCTCGAAGTTTATCCACTTTAGGGGGGCTTGTGGACTCTCGCAGGGAATGGAAGGGAATGGAAGGCTCGGGATCTACTCGGCCACACTTGGTTGAGTCATGCTTGGTCGCATTCGTTTGACGACCTGGGTGCGGAAAGCACCGAACTGCGTAGCTCTACAGCTTACAGCTTCCTGCTCCAGCCTCCAGTCTAGGCCCAGGCAAGCCGGGCAGTTACATGACCTGTATAATTAACAGCGAAAGCCGGCAGCTACAGACAGAAACGAAACGCCACCTCAACGCCTCCTCTGACCGGCATCCAAGTTTACAATGTCGAGGTGCAGCTTCCTTTCTAATGTCGTATCCTGATTAGTCTGGACCCCCTCAATAATGAAAAGTTTTCCAAAAATTATTCAGGAGACAAAAATTCGATTGCCCCCCCACAATAAAGTAAAGTTTTTCGGGCATGGGTTTCGGAAGAGAGAAGAAAAGAGAACAAGATAAGGAAGAGGAGAGGAAGAGGAGAGGGAAGAGGAGCGAAGAGGAAATGAAGAGGAGCCGGTGGGGGGGGGGGGGCCCGGGGCCGAAAATTAGTTTGGGGGGGTCCCTTTTTTTGACACTATTACGGGGGATTTAGTTTGGGGGGGGGGGGGGGCTCTCACACTAATCAGGATACCACATTATTCCTGAGAGAGCCCCCCCCCCACAGAGCCCCCCCCAGCCAAGCCCCCCCCCTTCAGAGAGCCCCCCCCGCTTCAGAGAGCGCCCCCGCCCCCCCCCTTCAGAGAGGAGCCCCCCCCCCCCCCCCTTCCAAACCCCCTTTCAGAGACCCCCCCCCCTTTCCCCCCTTTCCCCCCCCTCAGAAACCGAAAAAAGAGCCCCCCCCCAGGGGAAAGCCCCCCCCCAAAAAGCCCCAAAGACTCTCAGAGAGGTTTCTCACAAAGCCCCCAAGAGAGTCCCCAGAGCCCCCCAAGAGCCCCCACCACCCCCCCCCCACCCACCCCCCCCCCCCCCCCCCCCCCCACCCCCCCCCTTTGACCCCTCTGCCCTTCCTCTTTGTCCTGGGGCCGGCCGAGGCGGCGCGCGCAAGCGTTTACAATTATACCCAGAACTCCATCTCGTTCTCGCAAAGTAGCACAGCCTCCCAACCAACACCATTATCCCTGTCCCTCGGCTAGAACCCTTCTCTCTCCCTCATTGACTCCCTTCGAGGCCTTGGAGAAGTAAGCACCAAAACAAACGATCCGTGTGTCTGCAAACGGGCTGGCTTCAACGATGCCCAAGGATGCACGACAGTCCTGGTCAGAAAGTCATAGGATGTCCAGTAGAAGGCCCATAACTGACGTATAGGCACCCGAACCCCAAGATACCCTGAACCCTACACCCTATAAACCCTGCACTGAACCCGAAACCCTTTTTGCCAGAGGAACCCTAAACCCTCAACCGAAACCCATTTTTCTGCCCTAAACCCTAAACCCTAAACCCTAAACCCTAAACCCTAAACCCTAAACCCCAAACCCCAAACCCCAAACCCTAAACCCAACCCCAATCTCTAAACTACTCTAAACCCTAGCCGGCTCTGCCTGTCTCCTTGCTGGTACCCGATTCAGCACACGTTAATTTCGGAAATGGGACGGGGACCCAGAAAGGCCGGGTCAACCGAGAAGGAACCGGAGCTGCGCGGAACTGGCGGGATTTTCTTACGGGCTAAAGACAACCCAAAGAGAAGCTGCAGGTGCCCTCACGGCACACCAAAACCCAGACTCCCGGCGCAACAAGCCACTCAAGGTAGAACTTAAGTTGTCATTGTGACGCAGCTCAACAACAAAAACTATTACGGGAACTATCCACGTGAAGCCATGTGCAACCTATTGGGCGCACGATTGGGGGACTTTGTTCCGAAAATCCCGCGAGCTGAGGAACTGCCGTGCTCCGCCCCTCGAAACGTGCGCAACGCGCGGCTGCCAACCGCAGCCCCAGAACAGCAGGGGCTTGGCCAGAGACCTCCCGAGCCTTGCCTTGCCGATTTCCATCTGCTCCGTAAGATGCTATCTGTGTGTGTGACTCTTTTTTCAAGTCTGCACATACACATGCCATATATGTCTGTTTATGTGTCTACACATTTTTGTCTGGCTGTATGGGGGAGTTGAAGCAAGTGGCTCTTTGTTGCAGGCTTGTTCGTGTAGATCCGGTACACGTCTTACGGACGAGGCCGTTCTGTTCTTGGCATCCTTGTGACAAGAATGGCAAGACTTCGGCCCATTGCATCTGAGGGTCTTGAAGGGCTCAGACTGAGAACGGCAACTTTATCGTTGTCGTTCGGGTGCATATTTACGAGAGAATGATGCGAAGAACACAAGGTTCAGAGGGATTGCTGGCTCGGCCCCTGGAAACAGGAAACATGAAACACGAAACATGAAACATGGCCTCTGCAGGAACGAGTGGCAGCACCCGAGTGAGAAAGCTCCCCAGTGAGTCGCAATGGCAAAACCTCCTTATCCTCCCAGACCAGAGCTTGAAGAACCCCAAAACAGCCCTAGGCACGAAGGCGGGTCCTCATGCCACGTGCCTAGCTCTCTGGTCGCGAAACTGCAAATAACTTCTGCTCCATGCCCCCCTTCCGCCCCCATTCCGCCCCGCCCCTCCCAAACCTTTTTTACTCTGCAGACTGAGGGCAAATCCTAAACTCTTTGGATCCGGCTTCACTGCTTCCCCCTGACAGTCCATGCTGCAACGCGCTCCTGACAGGGCCAGCGCCGAGGCGCGAAACACTGTCAGCCTGTTCAGATGGGCAGCTCGAAGGTCAGGTCCTGTTGGTGGCTCTCTCTGTCGATTGTCAGGGGGCCGAGCTTAGGATTTTACATAGGCTTTCGAGGGTTCCGTTGCCAAAATCCCCTATATAACTCCTAACCCTCGACCTCAACCCCCTCAACCCCTGTACTCCAAATCACTAGAGCAACAAACCTGTGACAGCTATCCCAAGCAGCTACACCCCTAGCCCTAAAACCCTCAAGCTCCTAAACCGTAAACCCGAAACTCTACGTACCCTCTCCCAGAGCCTGTCGCGCCGCCCGAATATGCCCTCCTGGGCTCAGATGGACTTGCCTGGATGGAGCTCTTTTTTTTGTGGAAGTTGGGGGGAGGGGTTTTTGAGGGCTTTGGGTTTATAGGGGGGGTTTTTGGGCACCCGCATAGCTGGACGAGCCACTCAGATTGTCAAAAGCAAACGTCGGACGACACACATGCACACGCATGGACTGGCGGACAGACCATTCAACCTTTGGTTCCTGCATAGCTTGCTCAGTGCGTTTGTGGTTTAGAGAATTTGGGAGGGGTGTTTGTTGGAAGGTTGAGAGGGTTTGGGAGGGTTTTCGGGACAGAGGGATACTGGGTCTTTTTGCTTGTTTTTGGCAGGATCCAAATGAGGTGGCACCCAGTTGCTGAGGGCACGGAGGGGGGGGGGGGGGGGGGGGGGAGGGTTCCCCCACCCGAAAAACTGCGTTCCTTTGTCCTTTTTTCCTTGGTTCCCCCTCCCCCGGCCTCACCAAGTTGTTAGCTTTGATTTGGGACATCCTCTTGTACAACTCGATTGTCAGCCATTCGTTCACGAATGCTGGCATGGCTCGGATGGCCATCATCGCCGTTGCCAGGGCCAGAGTGGCGGAAACAGCAACAGCAGGCTTCTCCTTTCATGAGGATCTTTGGGGTGATCTGTGCTTCGGGCTAGGCGGTCAGGGAGACTTGAAATCCCGGAACTGGGGCGCCTTGGATATCCGAAGGCTTTGCGGCGCGCAAACATCTTCACGCACTGACGCCTAGTGGCTTCTATATCTGCAATTTTTGTGAGAACTCATGTGTCATCATCCTTATACACATACAAGTACATACGGATGCAGAGCACAGCAGCCGCTGGAATTATGGTTGAACTGAGGCTGCGTGTTCAGTGAACCGCTATGCAGGTCCATCACGGTTCAGTGTGGAACGGCGGATGTGCGACCATGCTTGGCAGGTTGTGGCGAAAGATACTTCC